ACAGTGAGGTAGAACGGCGAGAAGTTGGAGATGCTGCGATACATTGAAGAGGTGAGAGGAGGCGGACCGGAGTTCCCCGCTGCATAAACCACCACCGTGCCGGCCAGATTCGCGTATAAATACGGCAGATCGCTGAAATACGTGGCACTGGGGTCTGCGCCGCCCAGAGAGAGTGAGATGACGTCAACCCCGTCAGCAACAGCCGCGTTGACTGCTGCCTCCACGTCAGCATACGTGGCAGTGGTCCCGCCTGCGTTGGCGTTGCCCCAGAAGACCTTGTAGGCTGCAAGGAAGGCTCGGGGTGCCATGCCGGTTGCATTGCCGATGGTGGTCTTGCGGGGTGGTAGCACAATGGGCACGTTGCTGTTGCCTGCTGCCGCTCTGCACAATGGAGGGGAGAGGAAAGCATGCTATATCGAAAGTGATTTCGACTCTGCACAATGGAGGGGAGAGGAAAGCATGCTATATCGAAAGTGATTTCGACTCTGCACAATGGAGGGGAGAGGAAAGCATGCTATATCGAAAGTGATTTCGACTCTGCACAATGGAGGGGAGAGGAAAGCATGCTATATCGAAAGTGATTTCGACTCTGCACAATGGAGGGGAGAGGAAAGCAGCGGGAGGCTTTTGAGTCGACTCAAAAGTTGGATGCGGTCACAATCTTGGCGATTTTTTCTCCCTGTGTTCACCTCTCCCTTTTGAGTCGACTCAAAAGCACAATGGAGGGGAGAGGAAAGCAGCGGGAGGCGAATGGAGAGGGGAAAGGAGTTAAAAAAACGTTGGATTACTACAGCCATATGAGGTGAAGGGAAAAGAGAAACAGACAAAAAGACGTCTGATCCTGTGGACTAAGAGGAAGGCCAATGGTGGTGCCGACATGTGCCTTTCCAGGTGGAACTGAACAAGGGAAAGGCACGATCCGAGAAAGATATGGAACATAGCATGATGGTCCTTCAGAGTGTAAAATTGGAAAGCAAAAAATGGCGAGGTAAAGGGGTGTGGATGAATCACTCACGATGCACACCAGGTGCCGTGCCCATCCGCATCTCGAGCCGACGCCCAATCAGCGCGCAAGTCTTCCTGCCCGAACCACGCCCGGAACCCGGCACTGAAAAATCTCGCGCCAATCACCTTTCTGTTGCACTTGAAATCAGATGTCACCTGACAGGTGCCTTTCCAGGTAGATGGAGGGTTAGGGTACGCAAGTTCGGGTAGGGTAAAATTTGAGGAAAATGACGGGTGTTCCGGCCAAATACCCGTGTCGATTATTCCGACCACCACGCCCTCCCCTGCCCGCTCGCGGCCCCGGGCAGTCCAAAGAGTCCCGGGCAGGTTTAAAAAGTTTGCAGAGTCGGTGGTGAGCTTGCTGATTCGGTAGTTGGACTTGACTTCTGCAACTGCTGGGTGCCGCTTCAGCTGCTGCAGCTGCTTAGGTGTCAATCGCGCCACAAAGGCATTGCTGACGTGCTTGAATCTGGAAACGATGGGGGGGAAGTGGGCAGAAGGAAAAAGGGTGATGAGCTGGCAGAGGGAAAAAATAGGTTTGAAAAATCGAGTGCAGTGCATCTACAGTAGCATATTAGCTTCTATTGATTGTTACAACTCACTTGTACAGTACATTCGCGCGCGGCAGACGCACGTCATTCGCAACTCCATCCTGCAGCCGATCGAGCCACTGCTTGAACTGTGCGACTGCTGGCGCCCCCAGGTTCATTCGCGTCGCTTGGCGATTCGCTCGGCGACGACCCCTGCGAATCCGGCCGGCCACTGAATTGATGACGTCAGACACAGAGTCTCTGACAGCCTCCGCTGCAGTGGCGGCAATCCCGTTGATTCCGCCAGTGTATCCCGCGATTGGCGGGGCGGCGCGAAGGCGGATGATGTAAACGTCAGATACGGAAGAAGGGATAACCTTGTCGACTGGTTTGTCCAGTAGCGGAATATCCGGCGGGTTTCCCGTTACATTGGAGGCCGACCCGTTAAAGGATTCTTCTGGCGTTTCAGGAGTCGGCGCAGGTTGCGATTCAGGCGCAGTTTCAGGTGGAATTTCAGGTGCGGGCGGCGGAGCGGCTTTCGAAGCGTCATTTTGCGATGGTTGCTGGGGCTCCAAGATGATCTCTGATTGGTCAGCTGCAAACGAACCAAATTTTAGAATCAGGAGCATGATAAGGCATACGCATGACAATCGGACACATTGCGGCAGCAGAAAAAAAAATCCCTTAAATCACATTGGTCAAGCTCTCACCTTCTTGCCCGTAAACGAGGCTGCTTCTGGCGAGGATAAGTAGTGCTAGCAGGCAACCCACGCTGGCCCTTGACCAGGAAACTGAGCGACATCGACAAATCTCCATCGCACGCAATCCCTTTTCCGCTAAGTTCAGATCCTCCGCACCAGCTCCAGTGGAGACGCCTCAAAAGGAACCTTCCGTACCCAGTCCGATGACAACTTGCGAACCTACTAGTCGTCCCCGGTTGTCTGGCGGTTTTGGTACTGGAGAATCTGTCCAGTGGTTTAACGGAAGGAAAGAGAAGAACGAATCTCCGATTCTAGTCTTAAATGAAATGACAACCTTCTGAAAAATAGTGAGCGAGAATCAGAAGCCTTGTCTGATCTCGAAGTATGGCTCAAGCGAGACGGATTTAGGGTTCGCTGAAATTGGATCTCGTGACATATGCCACCGACTGCTATCAAAGTAGTAGGAAATGGCGTGAAAAGACCTTTGACTCTTCTCTTGCGTCGCCGCCGATAACAAATTTCGTTGCTTCTAGCGACGCGCAAACGTACTTCTACTACTAGTAGTACTTGAGAGACGAACATCGCCATTGACGCTTCTTGGCTAGCCAAGAAGCACGTTTCTCCGAACCGGCGCGGATAGTGCCAGCCTAGCTACGAGCTGCTGCCAACTAAGCTGCTGCGCCCAATCTCCAGCGCCAGGCTTCTGCACCTCGGGCCTCCAGCAGGAAACACTTTGCAAGCTAGTCGCAGCAGGAAATTTCTCCTAGGCATAGCACAGCAGTGACGACGGGGCGAAACGAGGCGCAGGTGGGAAGGGGAGGCAATCCCCCTCCCTTCCCTCCCCTCCCCGCTTCGCCCAAGTTTCCACTTCTACCTCCCCAGCCTGCCTGGCCGTGCGCGCAGCCCTCACGCATCCTCTCTCGCGCCGCTGACATCGCGTCCACTTGCTGCGCTCTGGATGCCTATGGCGACTGTGGGATGGCGAATGAGTGACCTAGCGAAACGATCTGCCCGTGTAGCGAAACTCGTCGTTGCCGGTTTTGTTTTCGTCGAATTTACCGCCACCTCTGGCAAAAAGCAGTTCATGGAATGGTGCAGATGGTAACAACGCGACTCTACAATCGTTAAAGCTCGCAGTCCAAATTGCGGGGCGCGCTGGCCAAGCTTACTAAGGTTGACGGGGGTGATGTTTTGAGTGCTGTTTGGGTTGCGAACGGTGGTTACGAGAAGTGAGATGCAATCTGATTGGCCAGATATTTTTTGTCGAATGGGAGAGCAGGGAACAACAACAATATGTTGATTGCAATTTGGGTCTCTAGAAGCAAACCCAGGTTGCTCCCAGCGGTTTGCCGTGTCAACGAAAACCCCAAGGGTCTAGCGCGAAACTGGGCGAAAACAAACAGCCCAACTCCCAACAAGTCAACTTCTTCTCCAGCCACCCAAAGGTCAACCTTAGGACGCGTTGAAAGTAGACGATCGATCGTGGGTGGCGATCGATGTGCGGATCTGTAACCCTATTTACTGTGCTTTAACCTTGCTACAGTATGGTTTCTGGCCAAAATTTGAGCACAGTGTGTGAATGCGACTGATCACTGATCGTGGGAGATCAGTGAGAGGCATCAAAGCGTCATTGATGCTCTCGAACCGAGCCTACCTGGCGCGATTGATTCTGATGCCTGCGAGTTTCTGAAATTTCGCAGAGCCAGGAATCGCTGTCGCCCAAATCGTCCACATTTGGCTAAATCTGTAAACATCACATCGCCGGGGTGGTTGCCCTGTTGGCTGCGAGTGTCGCAGGTGGGTATGGACAACGTATGTGTTTTGGGTGCGAGTAGCTTGCACGGCAGTAATCTCGGTCCTGGAACATCCACCACAATGCTCAGGTGCGATCGTTACAACGTATCGGTCTGCATGTTTCGCCAATCGATCTGCCCACTCGATTGTGGGGCTCGATTTATGCTCGCGATCCCGCGATATTTGCACTTTCAACGCGTCCTTACTAAGGTCGAACAATTTGGGCCGCGAGCTTTAAGGACGCGTTACAAGTAGCATGTTCCAGGGGTCAAAACAGAACACGGATCTTTTCGCTTCACTGGGCAAGTTCGATACCGAGCTTGAAGTTGCACGTGTGACGCCAGGGGTCCCCACGAAGTAACCTCTGAAACACAGGGGTTTCACCACACTTAATTCCTGCTTAACGCAATCAACATATTGGAACCTATTTACGCTACGTTGCAATTTGGACCTGCACAGGTTAGATCGAACAGAAAAGCTCGAGTTTTCCAAGAAGGTGTCAGGAATGGGATTCGAACCCATACCCTTTCGGAGCAGTACCTGAAACCGGCGCCTTAGACAAGACTTCATTTACAATGTTCCTAGGTACATGGACTTATAGTATTTACACTATGTACAGAAAGTCCTAATGGAGTGCAAAGGTGTTAGCAAAAAGGAAATTGTGAACATGATGGCCGAGTTGGTCTAAGGCGATTTTATATTTTGAAATCTATTACGGTATTTTATATTCTCTCGTGTTTTGTTTGTAACTAATATGTACTTGTTTCGAAGAGCGTGCATTTCTTATCACTAAAAGCCTCATAGCTGTATTCCAACACAAGCATTGAAGGCACACACTAGGACTTGCCTCAGGAAAATCATTAGACTCCCCACATGAACCCCACCTACCCTGGAAGCCCTGGCATTCAATCCTCTTCCAGCTAATGTAGTATATGCACAAGAGCAGTGAGTCAGTGAATGGTTGTTTGCTCTACTCCGCTTCCTTCACAGCATCCTGGGCAAAACCAGGTAAAAGAGGAAAAGCAGTAACACAACGGTTACACGGATACAATGCGTAGTGTAGCTAATGAATGGACAGTACAGCACATCACTACTTCTGGGACAGCTCAAAAGGCTACAGCAGCTTCAATAGTAACAGTGGGCACAGTACAAAGAGCTGACGACTGGAAAGGAAAATTACTGCAAGGTAGAAACTCTTTAAACGGGCAGTGCTATGCGTAAACTCCACCCAACCCCTTACCTGCACGATTTTGGTGATATAAGTGGCGGCAAAGGCTGTGAGGGCCACCCCACCCAGCAGCGAATAGAGCGATGAGTCGCCCAGCAATGAGCTCCCACTCTCCGCCTCCTGAGAGAGAGAGAAAAAAACCGGGAAATAGGTCTATTTTGAGGCGCCTAAGAACCGTGCCAAGAGTTGAGTCCCCCAGCAACGAGCTTCCACTCTCCACCTCTTAGATTGTGAGAATGGAAGGCAGGGAGGGATGGGTTTGACAAACGGGGAGGTCGGGGGGGAGAGGGGGGTCGGCCAAGGAGACAAACAGCAGTAGTAAGCAGTGTTTGTAGTGTCCATGCCATCGTGCCGAATGGTTACTAAGCTTGGAAGTAGATGAAGGTCTGGCTTGACGAATCACAGAAAGCAACACTCTGATGAATGTGGACACGAAGGGAAGTCATGATGAAGTAACCCAGAAGAAGATGCATCATAAGAGGACCTCACGATCAAAGGGAGGCGTACCAAAAGGGAGCGGCCAAAGGATCCGGCGCTGACATACGCCCACGTGCCTGGCAGCATGCCTATCCACCTGGCGTGTGGTAACAGGGCAACACGGAGACAAAGTCGTAAGGTGAGGGGGTTACCCTTTGGACCGACACAAAAGGGGTAAACAGCTGACAAAATCCCCTGTGCCATGCACCCTGTGCCGATCCACCTGGGATCAAGAAGCCGTCCAGAGATGACCCGTGCCCGTGTGCCACTTCAGAAACAGCACATGGATACGAGAGACCAGAGGCATGGTGCAGAGGTGATGCAGAGAGAGGGGCTAAGTGAGAGGGGCGAATGGAGAGGGGTGAAGCAGGGAGAGGGGCGAATGGAGAGGGGTGAAGCAGAGAGAGGGGCAAAGGGAGAGGGGTGATGCAGGAAGAGGGGTGATGCAGGGAGAGGGGTGATGCAGGGAGAAGGGTGATGCAGGGAGAACGGTGATGCAGGGAGAAGGGTGACGTAGGGAGAGAGGTGATTCGACAAACCTACAGCAACATGCGAGACAATCTGCACGAGGACATACGTTCCGAAGATGAATGGAAGAAGTTGGAAATGAGCCCATAGAAGTAGTTCCCGAGGGAGAACGACATGAGGGGGCTGAGGCGCAGCAGAGTGACGATGGGATTGTGGTGATGCGTACAACAGTCCAAACAAGTCCACATTAAAACATACGTTCCGAAAATGTATGGGAGAAGCTTCACGGAAGTGAGCCCGTAAAAGTAGTTCCCGAGGGAGAAGGGCATGAGGGGGCTGAGGCGCAGCAGAGTGACGATGCGGAACGAGTTGTTCCCCACTGCGCGGTCGATCGCCTCGTACTTCTTGTTGCCTCGCACCATATCTTGAATGCGATCGCGCGCCACATACCGCGCAATCAGGAACGCGATTGTGGCGGAGATCTGGCGCACGCGGGGAAGCGGCGGAAGGGGGATGATGGGGGGAGGGGGGGGGGGGAAGAGGGTGAGAGTGAGCGAGGGAAGGTGTTAAGCGGAGAAAGTTGAGGAGATGGACAGTCGGAAGGAGGAGAACAGGAAGGAGGCAAAAGCAGACCAGTTTTGTGTGTGTCCCATACGAATGTCCGTTTCGAGTCAATCCTAACGGCCGAGAAAGGTCAGGGACGGCATCGCGGAGGAGCGACTGAGGGGCATTCACGCACACGCAAGCAAGACCCATCAACCGACTACCAACAAACATCCCTGTACCATCACACCCGCAAGAAAAACACCCCGCGCGTTACAGTCACGCACCGTGCCGGAGAGACTGCAGAGAAACGTGCCCATGACCGGGCCGAACAGCACACCGGCGGACAGCGTCAGCGGAATAGCCGGAACCGCGAGCACCTCGAGAAGCGAGTACCCTAGCACGAACGTCACATATCCCCCGGATCCCGCTCCCTCGATGTACGTTGTGAAGTAGTCAATCGCGCTGGAAATGTCGTCCTTATAGTAATATCCCAGAAGCGCAAGTGACGCGACGACGCTTACTATCAATGCTCCCGCGGCCAGCGTGCCGCCGATCGCGGCTTCCTTGCTTACAACCTCGTCCGAGTCGGATTCCACGTCAGCTGCCACGTCAGTTGCCACGTCACCAGACTTCTCAATCGCCACGTCAGCAGGCTGTGAGTGGGTCGGTATTGTCAGCGAAAATTCGGGAGAGGCATTCGCGTCTGCTTCTTGATGGGTGGAGTCGGGATTCACTCGATGAGCAGTCGCGTTTTGACGCGACTCCAGAATCACGTCATGCGGGAAGACTCCATGGTTGTCCTCGTTATAAGAGGCGTCATGGAAAGGTTTTATGAGCTTGACGCCGTTAGGGACATCCCAGAGTCTGTCAGACTCATGTCGTTTCCGTTCCTTTTGAAGAGCACACCGAACCGAGCTGTACCGAGCTGGATTGCTCCTAACCAATCGGTTCTGCGTATTTCTGGCATGAAACGCCGAAAGGCTTTGCCAGGCTGAAACGCATCGTTCACGGCAATAGTCAGTTCTGTAGGGTAGTCTGATAGCCGTGACATCGGAGAGGGCTTGTGGTGAACTGTGTGACTGTACGAGGGAGCGATGTGCTGCTGAAGGAGTCCGCAAGGCGGTTGTGGCTACTCCCGTCGCCATGGTTACTGCTCGCGTTGAAGCTCAAGGCGAGGAGCTTAAGAACACACACGCGCGGCGCAACGAGCGGCTTCCGATCGAAACAGCCACGACACGCCGCAGCGGAAAGCGATCGGTTTCTGAGGCACGTCTTAAGGTTGTCGCTAGATACACAATCGCCAATCCGGAGGGTGCTCAACCCTACAAGCGAAAGGCAAGGAGCTCTGGAGCTTTGGATTGCTGCAAGCTGTTATGCCCCACCAAGACCAAGCTGGAGAGAACGCCTCGGCAACGCGCGCTCCGCCGAAGAAAATAATCAAGAACTGCGGGACTGACACTTTATACCCTTTCCGTCAGTCACGGCTGGGAAAGGGGTAGGGCGCGAGGATTCGGCGGTGGTCGGAGCGATGTGGGTGAATATGGGAGTGATGAAAGGGATTCCCCGAGAAAAAATGGGAACGTCGATCTTGGAGTGGTGAGTTTCGGCTGGCTACGAGTGGGGAGGTGATGGTTCGTAATCCTCGAGGAGATGTTAGTGAGCGCTGGATGTGCTTGCAAGGTGTACAGTTGGGTGCTCCTTCGGGAATATACTCAGTTGTATGTGCACTGAACTCAACGGAGGGTTGAGATTCGGCGATGCGGCCAGCAGATTCCCTCGAGGCGGAAACAAACGGATACGATGTGAAACGAAAGATGATCTTTCACGAAGCATTGGTGGATTTGTGTACACCCCGTGACCCCCCACCCCACCCATCGCAGCGTGTGATGATGATGATGTGTTTGTGCGATCAGCGATGGTTGAAACCAGCACACGCGCGAGGTGTGTGAGGGACGAAAGCGAAGCGAATAGCGTGGCACGAGGTCTCAAAAGACGGGGACTGACAGCCAACCATGTGCTTTCGAGCGCTGTGCGGATGAAAATGGAGGACCACGTGGCAACGAGTCATTGCCCCATGCACACGCTATGTTGTCGATGCTTCTTGACACACGGTGTCAAGTGGTCAACGCTGCGTCTGTTTCGTTTCGTGCTGACGCGTAACGGGTCATCGATGGTGGTCGAAGACCATCAGAGGTGCACACTTGGCCTTTTCTACGAGCCTGTCGTGTGGAAAAAGGAGGTCACCATTAGCACCGCGGCACGTCGGCGCAGGTTCGACATTGGAAAGGGAATCGTTGGTGGATTGAGATTCCATGTCCGCGGATCGTGGGGCTGGTTTGGAATGGGGCTGGCCGATATCCTTCTCGAGCATCCATTGGTGAAAGTGATCGTCGGCTAATCAGAAAGTGCAAAACCGAGATTTTTCCAACACATCAAGATGCTGATGAAAGGTTGAGATTGAAAGTTCAAAACAACAGCAAAGCCTGATTCCTCATAATGTCCCCAACGCAATCATATGCTATATCAAAATGTGGTACAGAAAATGTAACGCTGCTAATCCAGAACATTGAGAGGCTGTCTGTATACCTCTATTGCCACACCAGTCCAACGTAACCCACAACTACTGGAACCAGCGACCCACCTGGTATTGCTCCTGTTGCTCCTGCGGCTTTGCATCCACCTGGTCCTCTTGCTTTGCAATCTTCGGGCCTTTGAACCACCGGTGAGCGTCAAGAAACCACCATAGAAGAAACACAGCCACCACCACCACAATACCAACGGCAGCATAGTTGAAATTCTCCGCCGTTACGGGATACTCGGTCGGGATAACAAAGACAACCATGGTGTAGACTACGTATGTGAGAGCCAGGATGTGGACGCATTTGCTGGAAGTGGGGGATAAGGGGAAGGATGAAGAAAAAGGAGGATTAATGGAGTGGCATAAGTGAAGGAGTAAAAGGGGAGGGGTATAAGAGAAGCAGATGAATCGGAAGGGGTGTAACGCAAGGGGAGGGGGGATATACATCCTTCACTTTACCATCCCTCGCCCCCTTGCTTTTCCTCATCCCCCCTCTCTTTCCCCCTCTCCCCCTCTTTCCCCTCTCTTCCAATCAGTATCTCTTCCTCTTCCCCACCCTTCCCTCCTCATCCGCCCGTGTGCCCGACGTAGTTCGGCAGATAGAACGGCCCCTTCTGGATGAACAAGTCTTTGTCCGACTGGAAGACAGCACCCTTCTCGCTCCTTTCCCTCCCTCCCCTCCCTTGCCCGCACCCCTCTGCCCGCGCTCACCCGCCCGTGTGCCCAATGTAGTTGGGCAGAAAGAAGGGCCCCAGAACGAAGTCCTTATTGGATTGGATAATTCGAAAGAAGACCGGCACTCCGTACGCGCCGAACCACCCCACGGTGGCCATGCCCGTGACGGCAAAGTGGGTGACAGACAGACTCCCCCAAACAGAAGCGCAAGGAGTGAAACACCCACCGTTCCCCTCCTCTTCCCCTCCTTCCCCTCTGTCTGCTATCGCCCCCTCTGTCTGCTACTGCCCCTCTGTCTCCAAACCACCCCTACCTCCCGCCCCTGCTCACCCGCCCGTGTGTCCGATGTAGTTGGGAGAAGGGCCCCGGAGCAAAGTCCTTATCAGACTGGATGATCCGAAAGAACACCAGTACTCCGTATGCACCAAACCACCCCACGGTGGCCATGCCTGTGATGGCAAAGTAGGCCACGGAAAGAACCCGCCAAGCAGAAGCACGACGACTGAAACACCCAAAGAAACCACCCGTCCCTCCTCCTTCCTATCCTCCCCTCTCTCCTCCCTCTTACCCGCCCGTGTGCCCGATGTAGTTGGGAAGAAAGAAAGGCCCCGGAGCAAAGTCCTGATCAGACTGAATGATCCGAAAGAACACAGGCACTCCGTAAGCGCCGAACCACCCCACGGTGGCCATGCCTGTGACGGCAAAGTAGGCCACCGAGCCTCCGAGCAGCGGCATGAGGAAGACAATGGCGATGGCGCTGGTGCACGCTATGGCGTTCACCGGCACCTTGCTGGAGTTCACTCGGCGCCAGAGAAAAGATAAAGGGAGCCCGCGGTCGCGAGACAAGGCGTAGCCCTGTAGGGGGGGGGGGGGTTGAGAAGGACATGGGGGAGGAGAGGGACAGGGCGACGGGTGCTGCTGGTGCACACTATGGCGTTCACTGGCACCTTGCTGGAGTTCACTCGGCGCCAGAGAAAAGACAAAGGGAGACCCCTGTCCCGAGACAAGGCGTAGCCCTGGGGGAAAGCGGGTAGGGAAAGGGAGGGACGAGTTGAAGGTACTGCTGGTGCAGGCAATGGCGTTTCACTGGCACCTTGCTGGAGTTCACTTGGCACCTGTCGAGAGACAGGGCGTAGCCCTGTGGGGGTGGGGGGTGGATGGGGGCAGGAAGTCGATGGCACTGGTGCAGGCAATGGGGCATTCTTGAGAATTCTCAAAAACACCCTGCAGCAGGATGGGGGTAGGAAGTTGATGACACTGGTGCAGGCAATGGGGCATTCACTGGCACCTCGTGGGAGTTGACTCGCCGCCACAGGAAAGAGAGAGGCAGGCAGGCCCCTGTCGCAAGACAGGGCGTAGCCCTTGGGGAAGTGGGGAGAGGAGAGCAGGGAGACGAGGAGGTGAAATTAGCACTGGGAACGTGAACAAACCACACCGCACCGCACCGCACCAAACCGCACAGCACACCACAATCCAACTCACCACACGGGCAGCAGCAAGGATGAGAGTGATGGTGGCGAAAAAGAAGGAGGTGAAGAAGAGACCCAGGAAGACACATGCACCCGCGCCACTGCCGAACCTGACAGGGAGAGAGATATAATGACAGGAAGGGAAGGCATGCACAGGAAGAAAATCATTAAATTAACCTTCAATTATTTACTATGGGAACCTTCATAAAATCACCACCAACACACCTGCCTCCCCTCACACCTGCCCTGGTGGAACCCACCTGCCCTGGAACCCACCTGCCTTGGAACCCAACCCACCTGCCATAGAACACGTCCCAGAGAACCTGCACCTCTGTGCACTCCCTTGAAACGTCTGCAAACTCCCCACATATCACCTGCTCTGGGACCCAACCCACCTGCTCTGGGAAGGGAACCAACCCACCTGCCATAGAACACATCCCAGAGAATCTGCACCTCCGTGAAATCCCCGCCTGTCACCGTGTCCTTTGAAAGCAAGTTCTCCGGGTCCTGCATGTATGCACCAGCAGACACCCACGGTGAAATGGGAGCAAATTTTGAGACATCTCAAAAAGAGAACCTGCACCTCTGTAAAGTCCCCCCCTGTCAACGTGTCCTTTGAAAGGAAGTTCTCCGGGTCCTTCAGCCATGAGACTGGGCGAGCTGCAGCTTAGGAGAAGTCTCTTTTCGCATTTCCAAGACTTATTGAGACGTCTCACTAAGAGAATCTGCACTTCTGCAAAGTCCCCAGCAGTCATGGAGTGATTTGAAAGCAGGTTCTCTGGGTCTGGGTCCTGCAGGCACGCAGGCACAGCGAAAGGGGAGAGGAACAAAGCGATGTGCGCACCCAAAAGGTCCGCCTTACCAAACACACACACACACACCTACCCACCTGGATGCAGAATGTGAGGGCCACAATGACGCCCCACTCCACAAAGCAGATGACCGAGAGGGCAGCTATCATCGCAAAGGGAGTCGTTACGTCAGACCGCTTCGCCTCTTCTGACGTGTGCGCTGCTGCATCGAATGCGTAGAGCGCGTATTGCGACATGAGGAGGCCGGCTACCACCGCGTAGGCCTGGGATGGGAACAACCAAGAAGGGAGCGAAGAGAAGGAACAGTTGAGTAGTTTTGCCTCTTGTGACGTGTGTGCCGCTGCATCGAATGCGTAGAGCGCGTACTGCGACATGAGCAGCCCGGCTACCACCGCGTAGGCCTGGGATGGGAACAACCAAGAAGGGAGCGAAGAGAAGGAACCGTTGAGTAGTTTTGCCTCTTGTGACGTGTGTGCCGCTGCATCGAATGCGTAGAGCGCGTACTGCGACATGAGCAGCCCGGCTACCACTGCGTAGGCCTGGGATGGGAACAACCAAAGAGAACGGAGTAAAAGGAGTGGTCTATATTGTTGTCTCTTCTCTCCTGACGTGTGTGCCGCTGCATCGAACGGGAGAATTGAGGGGAGAAACGGAAGGAAGAGCATCAAATGCGGAGAGGAGCGTGGATTGTTACTTGAGGTGTCAGTGGCGGACAGGTGGGCTGCGGAGGCCTTACTTCCATTCCATTCCATCAAATCTTGTTGTTCTTAGGACAAAGAGACAAACCCCACAGGATGCCTGCGTAGAGGAGCGTGGACTGTTGGTGTGACTTTTGAGAGGAGCGTGGACTGTTGGTGTGACTTTTGAGAGGAGCGTGGACTGTTGGTGTGACTTTTGAGAGGAGCGTGGACTGTTGGTGTGACTTTTGAGAGGAGCGTGGACTGTTGGTGTGACCTTTGAGAGGAGCGTGGACTGTTCGTGTGACTTTTGAGAGGAGAGTGGACTGTTGGTGTGACTTTTGAGAGGAGCGTGTACTGTTGGTGTGACTTTTGAGAGGAGCGTGTACTGTTGGTGTGACTTTTGAGAATTCTCAGAAGTACTGTTACTTGAGGAGGCCTGCTGCTATTACTGTGTATACGTGAACACCAGGGCAGGGGGTGAGGAGAAATTCAGGAATTACGCTCACTGATGGGAACCCCCGGAGTTACCCAACAGGATGCTGCTTGTTTGTTTGTTTGTTTGTCTCTTCGCCGGGTAAATAAGTGGCAGAATTGGGCAACAACTCACCCCGTTGGGGATGCCTGTGATGTGATGTGAGTATTGCACCTCAAAGAGACCCAACAGAACACCCACGAGGCTGGCAGATGGGTTGGGTCATAAACACTGCAAGAACCATAATTACGTCTCCCACAGAAAGACTCACCCCGTTGGGGATGCCTGTGATGCTGTATTGCACCTCAAAGTGACCGAACACCCACGATGCTGGCTGGTGTGTCTTTGCAACAGCAGGGAGAGTAATTATAAACACGAAAGCCACTAGGATCTGGTGGGGCAAAGGGGGGGGAGCGGGAAGAAACAGGGAGAGGGAAGGGGGGTGCGGGGTGAACAAGAGCATGAGAGTGCGACAGCAGGGAGCGTGACTATGAACACGAATGCTTTTGAGACGTCTCAAAAGTCGAATGCCACTAGGAAATGGTGGACTAAAGGGAGTGGGAGCGGGAAGAAACAGGGAGATGAGGCGAGGGCGGAAGAGGATTATGAGTGTGAATGTGCCAGCAGAGAGAGTGATTACAAACACCAGTGCCACTAGGATTTGGTGAATGAGGGGGGGAGAGAAGAAACAGGGAGGGGGAAAAACAGGCAGGTGGCAGAGGGTGAAGAAGAGCGTGAGTGTGAATGCGACCACAGCAGGGAGAGTGATAATGAACACCAGTTCCACTGGGATCTGGTGAACGAGGGGGGAGAGAGAACGGTCCCTCACTTGCAGCACTCTCCCTACTGCCGGCACTTGCCCCACGCGCTTAATGGGAAGAAATTTGATGGGTGCACAGACCAGAAGGTGTGCGCTCATGGTTTTGAGGCGCATCAAAACTAAAATGTGTGCGCTCATGGGTTCATTGTCTTGCATAAGTCACACCTGCACCACTCACGCACCCTCTCCTCTCTCACCCACTATCTCTCACCTGCAGCACTGTCGCCACGGCCAGCACTTACCCCACCACCTGCATGTACCATTCATCTACACTCATGCTCACCTGCAGCACTGCCCCCACGGCCAGCACTTGCCCCACGCGCTTGATGGGAAGCATGTCAATGGGGGCACTGTCGAGGATGATGGGTTATGGGCCAATCGGCATATACACGTCACACCTGCACCCCACTCTTTCGCAGTCCCTATCTCTCTCTCTCCTCACCTGCAGCACCGTTCCAATTGCCAGCACTTGCCCCACGCGCTTGATGGGAAGCACGTTGATGGCTGCACACATGAGAATGAGCGCCACACACGCTAGAAACTGCAGGTAGTCCGGGAAGGTGTATCCGCCACTGTTGGAGCCGCCTGGGGGAAAAGCAGGTGGAATGAACGGTATAGAAACAGATGGGGTGAGGATTAGGGGAAAAGAATGAGCGCCACCCGCGCTAGCCTAGTTAGGAACTGCAGGCAGTCTGGGAAGGTGTATCCGCCACCGTTGGAGCCGCCTGGGGGGCAAAGGGGAAGCAAAGGGGTCGATGGGGGAAGACATGTGGCACACACAGAATGAGCGCCACACAGAATGAGCGCCACACAGAATGAGCGCCACACAGAATGAGCGCCACACAGAATGAGCGCCACACAGGCTAGAAACAGCAGGTAGTCTGGGAAGTTGTATCCGCCACCGTTGCTGTTGCCTGCTGCGGTGGAAAAGCAGGTGGAATGAACGGTATAGAAACAGATGGGGATGGGGGAGAAAGAGTAAGAGCCACGCACGCTAGGAACTGCAGGTAGTCTGGGAAGTTGTATCCGCCACCGTACGAAGAAAAAGGACCGGCAGACGGTGGGGTGGTGGGGGGGAGTGTTAGTCGTAACCAGCCACCCAGCCACCCACCCAGCCAGCCAGTCAGCCAGCCAGTCAGCCAGCCAGCCAGCCAGCCACCCACCCACCTGTGGCAAGCAGGACGAGCGACATGATCTGCTGGATGCCCCCAAACGCCACTCCGCCCACCCCCACTGACACCCCCACGAACTCCAACCAGCCCTGGGGATGCACGAGGGAGGTGGAGAGGAGTGGGAGGGATTGACGGGAGAGAGTGAGGGAAAAAGTAGATGTGACTCTTGAGTCGTCTCACTCATTCCCCCAAACGCCACTCCGCCCACCCCCACTGACAACCCCACGAACTCCAACCAGCCCTGGGGATGCACGAGGGAGGTGGAGAGGAGTGGGAGGGAGAGGTAAAATGAAATCTGATCTGAGGCGACTGAAAATGAAAATGGACCCCCAAGGGCACTCCTCCCTCCACAACAACCACCCATAATGTGTGCTTACAGCGATCCATCATCCATGCACAACCTCTATCTGTGCTTACAGCGATCCATCATCCATGCACAACCTCTATCTGTGCTTAAAGCGATCCATCATCCATGCACAACCTCTATCTGTGCTTACAGCGATCCATCATCCATGCACAACCTCTATCTGTGCTTACAGCGATCCATCATCCATGCGGAGAGCAATGCCAAATCTCACCATGATGTATGGTGGTGCATGCATGCACAACCTCTATCTGTGCTTACAGTGATCCATGCTGCAAAGGGGCCGTACTTTGGGCCGGCGAGAGCAGCCGCCCAGAAATAGAGCGAGCCAGCTGTCTGTATAGGGCAATGGGGGAGGGGAGGGGGAGGGGTGGAGAGGTGTTTTGCGCAGTGCGGTTCCAAAAAGCAGCTGCCCAGAAATAGAGCGAGCCAGCTGTCTGTGTAGGGAGGGGAGTGAGGGAGGAGAGGGGGAGGGGTGGAGAGGAGTTTTGAGCGGTTCTAAAAAAGCAGCCTTTGTGTGGGCAGCCGCCCAGAAATAGAGCGAGCCAGCTGTCTGTGTAGGAGAGTGCGGGAGAGAGGGAGAAGGAGGTGCAGTAGAGAGATGAGGGTTGGGGGCGGAGAGGAGATTTGCGGTGTCCCAAGAAGCAGCCTCCCTGTGGAGCAGCCGCCCAGAAATAGAGCGAGCCAGCTGTCTGTAGACATGAGTGGGGGAGGGTTGGGAGGGGCAGAAACGGAGACGAGAGGAGGTTAGGTGAGGCGGAGATGAGATGAGGGGAGGGGAAGACGAGAGGAGGGGAGGAGGAAAGGAGAGGATGGGTGGGAGACGGGACGAGAAGGAAGGCAACGAAAAAGGCATGTGTGCATGTGTGTGTGTGTGCGTGTGTGTGTGAGTGTGTGTGTGTGTGTGTGTGTGTGTGAGTGTGTGTGTGTGTGTATGTTTGTGAGTGAGAGTGAAAAGTGAGAGAGTATGTATTGGAACTCGGGCACGAGTGTGTGAGTGAGAGTAAGAGGGAGTAAGCAGCTCACAGGGAAGGAGGAGGCGATTTCAGCAAAGGAGAGGGCGAGCAGGTGGGCAAAGAAGGCAGTGATCCACCAGAACCACACGCAGCACACCGGCCCGCCGTTCAGATACGCCGTGCTGCAAGCACAACACGAAACACGATAAGCACAAGAGGTGATGTGATGGGGGAGAATGAGGGCAGTGAAGGTCGAGCAGTGATCCACCAGAACCACACGCAGCACACCGCCCTGCCGTTCAGATATGCCGTGCTGCAAGCACAACACGAAACACGATAAGCACAAGAGGTGATGTGATGGGGGAGAATGAGGGCAGTGAAGGTCGAGCAGTGATCCACCAGAACCACACGCAGCACACCGCCCTGCCGTTCAGATACGCCGTGCTGCAAGCACAACACGAAACACGATAAGCACAAGAGGTGATGTGATGGGGGAGAATGAGGGCAGTGAAGGTCGAGCAGTGATCCACCAGAACCACACACAGCACACCGCCCCGCCGTTCAGATACGCCGTGCTGCAATAACTGTGACATGCGTTTTCTGGGGGGGGGGAAGGGGACTGAATTGGAAGGCGGGGTGTGAAGGGAAGTGGTGGTATTATAAGCAAGGTAAAGAAAGCAGTGAAGGAGAAGGGGGATGGCTATTGCAGGTGGTGATCTCCTAAGGCCTCAAGCAGCAGAGCAGAGAGCCCTAAATCCACCCCCCACTTTCCCCCCTGGCTTATGAGGCGCCTCTAAAGTCATAGCAGGCAACAGGAAGCAACAGGAAGCCCAAGCACGTAACCATAGTAGGGGAGAATCCCAAGAATAGGCCCATGCGCTCACCCATGTCCTCGCACGTACGTACCCATAATAGGGGATCCCCAGGAACATGCCCACGCCACAGAACGCCACTGAGAACAGCTCGAACGAGTTCTGCAGACGAAAAAAGAAAGGGTTACATTGTTACAACATTTTCTTTTCAGTCGGGCCGGCTCAAAACAATTCCCCAGTGATACAAAAGTGTGGAGTTTCAAGGTCACCATGGGGCAAAGAAATCCTTTTGACGGTTCAGAAATCAGGATTGAGAAGTTTCAGGTTTGGGGTTAGCCGCCGCGGCAGCGGGCCGCAAAACGAAAACGGAAAACAGAGCGGCGCTTTACAGACAGGAAATTGACTGAATCGTGATAGAGGCGCTCTTTGACGCGTACGAAAAAAACGACGGGACGGAAATCGGAGGAAGTGGGAAACACAAGAAACAGGACAATCATGACCCGGTGGCGTCATTTCCTTCAAGGACGAAAATCAAGATAACTTGCGGTGTACGCGTTATAGAGTCGCACCATGGACCGCTGCAGGTCTTGCGTGTATCCGAGCTCCATTAGCCGTTTCTCTCCAGAATCGAGCTCCAACGTAAACAGCACGCCGTCGTCTAACATAATTTCCATAGTCTTAGCTTTCCCCTCCCCGGCCTCTCCGCCTTCCCCGCCTTCCGCTCCGCCAACGTGGATCCCCCCGTCTTCTTTCACCAGCGCAACCACCGCAGCCCCCTCGAAGGCGCAGCCTTCGCGGAAAAGCTCGTCTTCTTCTGACTGCACGATCGCCGATTCCGTCGTCGTCGACATAATGATGGGTGTAACAATTTTATGTCTAAATGGAAAATCGTACGGCAATTTCGGATTGAATATTGCTTTATGGTTTTTTTCAAGAAGGGGGAATAATGATCGGTTGATATAATCAGAGAGTAAGGAGTCGCGTCCGAGTTAGCGCCTCGAGGCGTACTGACAGAGTGCTAGTTTCCCGTGACTCGAAGGAAATTTTGAGTCGACAGCGACGCACTGAGCAAAAGTTAAGTTAGTGAGTCTGTTTGTTACATATGCATGCGACAATGCGGTCCAAGCGGCTCTAGATACTACGGCGTTCCCGAAAAAAACGATGAGTTTCGCGACGGGGAAAACGAGAGGGGGTTACGTTCGGGTTTCCGAAGCGCGCGGTCACGAGTCGACGGGTGTCGTTGCTAGACTAAGTTAGTACGTAGCACGGGCGGCTGCATTGCTCAGGACGACAAAGACGGGTCAACACGGTTCATAGAGATGATCTTAACATCCGTGACTTGAGTGTGAATTACTCACGGACGAGCAATTGCAAGTTAGAGAATCTACTATAAAATCGGCTCGAAGGATGCATTTTCCTGGAATAGTATTGCCTTTATCAGGCAGGGAGCCGAAGCCAGTCGTAGCTAGTAGCGCTGCGCAGCAGAGGGGAGGCAACCGTTAGAGCTTGGAGGTTTTGGTAGGAGGGAGGGAAGGGAAACTTTTGTTGAGCGAGTGGCATGGTTCGAGCATGTCCGCCAAAGCCGCACAGCAGCTAGAAACGGACAGCTCTTGGGCAGGTTCACTCCAAGATTTGGTAGGTTCCTGCAATTAGGGCGATCTTAGGGCGGGTCCAGCGCGTACGTTTTCCGTACATTACAGTTCATCCAGTACGGTAATCCGTATTGCGTCACGCTTTCAAACGGTGAAATTTCAAAACCATTGTGCACCGCCTGATATCTTTTCAAACCACTACGAATGAACTGTATAGTACCTGTAGACGTACGCGCTGGACCCGCCCTTAGAGCTCGCCCTCAAGAACCCACCTAACCACTTGAACATGTAACGAAATCTTCCTGAAACACACAGAACCGTATTAGTTCTCTGAGGGAAAGCGGTCATTATCACTGGTAGTTGCGGTACGGTGCAAACTGTCAGAGCTCGGTGCAACGTCCATACACCTCGGTGGGGCGTCACTTGGAAACGCCGCAACTAGACAAGGGGAAGGAGGAGAGGAGCATGTCGCTTTTCCATTTCGGTCAAGATTGAGCAGGTGATTTGAAAGCACTTAAAGAGTGTCCCTTGAAGAATACGGGGGCCACGGGGGGTGTTCTCAGAGTTGGAAGGCTCTGCCTTCAACGCTCATGAATCAACTGCCTCTACAGACTGCTACCAATTTTTCTCAGTGGCGCTTACTAAGTAGAAATGTGTCCATGTTTATGGAACAGATGGTGGTTCCAACAAGCCTTACATAGCATGGAAAGTTTAAAAAATTTGACCTATGATTTCCAGGTCTGATCAAAAGCATGCCCAGTTGTGGCCCGGGGAGGGAGGGGAGCGGGGATGAGCGGTTGGTGGGAACTGTCACTCCACTCCGTTTTCATTCCCAGTGGTGCAGTTCGGTTCTTTGAGGCACATCAGTTCCTTTGTTTGACAGCGGTCTTGGGTGTAGCACCGCGCCTTTTCCATTTGTAAAAACACGATCAACAAAACACAGAACCGTGAGTTTTTACGTAGGTTTCAATATTTTTTCTCACAAGCTGGTGCCGCCTCCCTCCAACAACGCGTACAAACGACAGTCATCACCACCTGGAAGCTCCTGCCCTAGCCTCAGCAAACCAGATACGTGTCGATTATGGCGCTTCTAGCGGGTGCTCCACCCACGCTTATGCCTAATGTGGTTACATCACGAACATGCGCGACTGCCGTGTTACCATTCGCCTCACATTGCGCATCCATTAAATCTTATCGAGCCCATCTCACAACCTCCCGAAATCTCTCCCTCATTTCTCCACGAACCCCGCCTTTTCAACGACTCGCCTCGAGGTCCGAGCGTAGCCGAGCTGGTTTCGTGACCCGCGCTTCGGCGGACAGTTCGGCGGAGCGCAATTCCGAATCCTCAAGGACAGTGCGCGAGGGAGAGGAGCAGGCGGCGGGGGAAGAAGCGGAGGAGGAAGAGGAGGAGGATGAGGAAGTGGAGCTGGAAAAGTGCCATTTTGGCGGGAAAGAACTGGAGCGGTTCGTGAAAATCAACGAGGGCCAGTGGCGTGGCGCGTTTCTGGTGAGTTAGACGCACTAATGATGGTGAATCATCATGACAGAGATGTCAAAGGACAGACGGGCCGCGGCGTATGTTACGAGCGGAATTCTTAGTCCGCTCAGAATCACTTTCACAAGTCAGGCTTACTCTTTTGAAAATAACTTGGGGGCTGCTGCTGCTGCTGCTGCTGCTGCTGCTGCTTGGGGGCTTTTAGGCACGGCTGTTGTATTGAGAACCCAAGGGCTGTTGTATTGAGAACCCAAGGGCTGTTGTATTGAGAACCCAAGGGCTGTTGTATTGAGAACCCAAGGGCACGGCTGTTGTATTGAGAACCCAAGGGCACGGCTGTTGTATTGAGAACCCAAGGGCACGGCTGTTGTATTGAGAACCCAAGGGCACGGCTGTTGTATTGAGAACCCAAGGGCACGGCTGTTGTATTGAGAACCCAAGGGCTGTAGCCTTCAAAGATGAGCCCACGGTTCTGTTTTAAACCTTCAGGCATGCCCACTGGGGTTGATGTTCGGGGTTTAAGTTTGGGTCTCAGTCTCGGATGAAGGTTTGGGGTTTAAGGCCTCGGGTTTATGTTTTGTTCAAGCTCATAGTACTTTGTCCTTCCCATTCATGCTCCCCAATCCCTCCCTCCTTTCTTTTTGCTTCAATCTCCTAATCTTAGCCCTTCCCCCCACCCACCTTCACCTCCGCTCCCCTTCTCCCCTTCAACCCCCCTTCACCTCCCCACCCCTTCTCTCCTTCTCCCCTTCAACCCCCCTTCACCTCCCCACCCCTTCTCTCCTTCTCCCCTTCAACCCCCCTTCACCCGCACAACGATTCTGAATGCCGCCTGATACACAGAGAGCCCACCCAACCGCCTTTCTTCTCCTCCCCCTTGCCTCTCCCCACCTTCCTTGCCCCTTCCCCCCCGCTTCCCCCTCTCTCCGCCCAACCCCCCCCTCCCCTCCCCTCCCCCCACCAGCACTACGATCTGAACGGCCGTCTGCTGCACAGAGTGCCCACCCGCCTCTCTGCTACAGCCTCTGGGCGGGGAGAGAACAGCTCCCTGCTACAGACGTGAGTCTCTGCTACAACTTCTAGACGTGGTAATTACTGCGTTTTGTTTCATTACTGAGCCTTAGGTCTCTCCGTTCCTCTGCACCTCTCACCACCCGCTGCCACCTCTCACCATTCCCCTCCCCTCCTCTCAGCTCCAGCCCAAGTCGATTATGCAGCAATCTTGTTCTCGCTCTCGCTCTCGCTCATAGAAGAACTGCTAGCAATTTTCGTCTCCTCTGCTCCTTGTTATCTTCCACCTCTCTTCATTCCCCCCCTCCCATTTTCTCACCATTCCTGTCCCCTCTTCTCACCATTCCCGTCCCCTCCTCTCACCATTCTTGTCCCTCTTCTCACCATTCTCCCTCCCTCCTCCTCAACAGGTTGAGTGTGAAGCAAGCGTGCACAAGTGGGGAGGAGGTGGGAGGGGAGGAATGGGTGGAAATCAAACTAGAGGAGGTCAACCGGATCACAGCAGCCAATCGCCTTCAGGCACGTGGCAGAGGACTTTTCACAATAGAGAATGATTAAGATGGCTGGCTCGTGTAATAAGAGTATTTTTGAGACGTCTCAAAAATAGAGAATGATTAAGATGGCTGGCTCGTGTAAAAAGAGTATTTTTGAGACGTCTCAAAAATAGAGAATGATTAAGATTGCTGGCTCGTGTAAAAAGAGTATTTTTGAGACGTCTCAAAAATAGAGAATGATTAAGATGGCTGGCTTGTGTGAAAAGAGTATTTTTGAGACGTCTCAAAAATAGAGAATGATTAAGATGGCTGGCTCGTGTAAAAATAGTATTTTTGAGACGTCTCAAAAATAGAGAATGATTAAGATGGCTGGCTCGCGATGATGCTTGGGCTGTCAGCTCGGTTTTGTCGGGTTGCTATGATGTGACACATCGTTGTGACATTGCAACCCGCGGGAGGCACATAGTACATTGTGCCTCTTCCTACCCTGCCCCTCATTTCCTCTACTCTCCTTACCCCGGCTGCCCATACCCCTCACTTCCCCTACCCCCACTCCCTATCCCCGCTGTATCTCCACTCCACTCTGTCCCTCGACCCCATCCCTCACACAGTGAGGGCAGTCACATGCCGCTCTTTCTTTTGCATTTCCACTCCCATCTCTCTGACATCCCATTCCATTTCCAATCCCATCTCTCTGACATCCCATTCCAGTTCCAATCCCATCTCTCTGACATCCCATTCCATTTCCAATCCCATCTCTCTGACATCCCATTCCATTTCCAATCCCATTCCATTTCCAATCCCATCTCTCTGACTCCCCTCTCCTCTGTATGCAATTCAGGTCGCCTGGTTCCCAGACTACAGGGCATACGCGTTGAGCCACCAAACCGCAGAGGACTTAGTGAGGGCGCTGGCAGTGGGGGTGGTGGGAGCAGAGGCAGCAGATGCCTACGAAGCAGCAGAGGTCATCCGAGGGGTGAAGCTGCCGTCCCGCCGCCCGGCTCTCGTCAGCGAAACCTGCCTCTTCCTCTCCGAACCAGTTTCCGAAGCAGGTTCCGAACCAGGTTCCGAGCCTCCTGCCGAAGCAAGCTCAGAAGAAGATGTAACTTGGGGAAATCGGAGGGTGCGCACATTCCATGTGCTGGACTCCAAGGGAATGATCGACACCCTGGGAGTGTTTGTGGAGGAGAGGGAGGGAGCGGGTGAGGATGGTTCAGGGGCAACGACAGCCCATGCGAGAGAGTTATTGGAGGTGAGTCATTAAAAAGGGAGAGGGTGGGAGGGGGCGTGCATTCCATGTGTTTGACTCCAAGGGAATGATCGACACTCTGGGGGTGTTTGTGGAGGAGAGGGAAGCAGCGGGTGAAGCTGGTCCAGGCGCTACGCCACCCCGCTAGCGAGTCAAGATGGTCAAGATGGTCAACATGGTCAACATGGTCAACATGGTCAACATGGTGACGACAAGTCGGAGCACTTTAAGGCGTGTAACTTTTTTCCGAAGCGTCAAATGTCCGGACCAGCTTCTCAAACCGTACGGGCAGCGTCGGTTCGGAAGGTTTTAGACGTTTGTCCGGACGAGTCCCGTACGGACCTCTATGGTAGAACTTTTTTTGTGGCGAAAACGTGAACTGTAAACGAAATGATAACGACCTGTTACGCGACATGATTTTTGAATTCGCCCTCCAATGAAAGCGCACCAAAATGGGACGGTCCGAACTGCAACTGGACGCTGAACGGACGGAAATATCCGCCAGAAATGTCAAAAAGTGTCACATTCTGTCCGTACGCCAGCGACGTCGCCAAGGACCTCGCGAACAGCCATACGAATAGGGCCGAAAACAGTAACCACGTCTGTTGTCCGGACCATCCCAAGTACGGACCGTGGTTCGAAAAAAAGTTACACGCCCTTAGAGAGCTACTGGAGGTGAGTCAATGAAAGAGGAGAAGAGAAGGCGGGTTGTGCGTTACATGTGTTGGATTCAAAGGGAATGATCGACACTCTTGGGGTGTTTGTGGAGGGCAGCAGGAAAGGATCAAGTGAAGAAGGCACATGGGTCCATGGCAAAGAGTTCATGGAGGCGAGTCAATGAATGAAAGAGGAAGAGGTGGGTGCGAGCGTTCCATGTGCTGGACTCCAGGGGGACGATCGACACCCTTGGGGTGTTTTTGGAGGAGTGGGAGGGAGCGGGGGTGAAGCTGGGTCATCCCAGAACCCAGGGGCAACGGCAGCCCATGCGAGAGGGCTTCGGGAGGTGAGCCTATGAAAAATCGGTGGGTGCCTTTTGAGGCGCCTCAAAAGTGGATCCCGTTCCATGTGCTGAGGTTTAGGGCAATGCTTGACACTCTGGGGGTGTTTTTGGAGGAGTGGGAGAAAGCGGGTGAAGCTGGGTCAGGCGCAACAACAGCCCATGCCAGAGAGTTATTGGGAGGTGAGTCAGTGAAAAGGGAGAGGTTGGGTGAGAGCTTTCCATGTGTTGGACTCCCAAGGGGATGATCGACACCCTTTGGGGTGTTTTTGGAGGAGTGGGAGGGGAATGAAGAAGATGGTCCAAGGGCAACAGCAGCAGCCCATGTCAGAGAGCTTCTGGAGGTGAGTCAGTGGTGGTTGCGAGCTTTCGATGAGGGCAACGGCAGCCCATGCCAGAGAGCTTCTGGAGGTGAGTGAATTACTTTTGAAAGGAGAGGTAGGGTGCGCGGGTTCCATGTGTTGGACTCAAAAGGGGATGCATCCACAAAGGACACGCTGGGGGTGTTTGTGGGAGGGGAATGGAGAAGGAGCGGGTCAAGATAGTCAAGAAAGTCAACATGGTCAGGTCATATTGGCCCGCTCCTAGCATGGGCCAAGGGGTCATCTTCACATGTTGGCCCGCTCCTAGCATGGGCCAAGGGGTCATCTTCACATGTTGGCCCGCTCCTAGCATGGGCCAAGGGGTCATCTTCACATGTTGGCCCGCTCCTAGCATGGGCCAAGGGGTCATCTTCACATGTTGGCCCGCTCCTAGCATGGGCCAAGGGGTCATCTTCACATGTTGGCCCGCTCCTAGCATGGGCCAAGGGGTCATCTTCACATGTTGGCCCGCTCCTAGCATGGGCCAAGGGGTCATCTTCACATGTTGGCCCGCTCCTAGCATGGGCCAAGGGGTCATCTTCACATGTTGGCCCGCTCCTAGCATGGGCCAAGGGGTCATCTTCACATGTTGGCCCGCTCCTAGCATGGGCCAAGGGGTCATCTTCACATGTTGGCCCGCTCCTAGCATGGGCCAAGGGGTCATCTTCACATGTTGGCCCGCTCCTAGCATGGGCCAAGGGGTCATCTTCACTTGTTGGCCCGCTCCGAGCATGGGCCAAGGGGTCATCTTCACATGTTGGCCCATGCCTGCCAGAGAGTTGCTGGAGGTGAGTCAGTGAAAAAGGAACAGCTGGGGTCGTTTATTTCGTGCACATCCACCACCCACCGGTCTTCAGTTGTTCCCTTCCTTCTCCCCTCCCTCTGCCCTCCGGTCCTCTTCCTGCTTTTCTGGCGCAACCCGACCCGCTCGCTGCCCTGATCCCCCCCCCCCTCCCGCCTGGCTCTACTGCTGGGCGAGTGGGACGGCACTTCAACACCCACCGGTCAAGCACTCACCATCCCTACATTGCTCCCTTTCCCCCACTTCCGCCCTTATCCCTCCACCCTCCCTCCTCACCAGACGCAACCAGACGACCCCAGCGCCCTGATCCCCCCTTCCCGCCTGGCTCTGCTGCTGGGGGAATGGGATGGCACCTGCACCACCCACCAATCAATCACCACCCTTTTCCTCCCCACTCCATATTGGAGTGACTTTTGAGACTTCTCAAAAGTCACCACCCACCAATCAATCACCACCCTTTTCCTCCCCACTCCCCACTCCCTTCTCCTCGCCAGGCGCAACCAGACCCCACCAACGCCCCGATCCCCCACTCCCGCCTTTCACTACTGCTGGGCGAGTGGGACGGCACCTCCACCACCCACCGATCGGCCATCTATGGGGAAACCGTCACCCACTCCACCTCCAACTTCTTCCTCACTCGCTTCAGTGACAGCAGCCTGGGCCTGGTGAGTCACCCTCTGCCCTCCATCCTCCATCTCCATTCCACGATCACCCACCGGTCAGCCATCTATGGGGAGACCGTCACCCACTCCACCTCCAACTTCTTCCTCACTCTCTTCAGCGACAGCAGCCTGGGCCTGGTGAGTCACCCTCTGCCCTCCATCCTCCATCTCCATTCCACGATCACCCACCGGTCAGCCATCTATGGGGAGACCGTCACCCACTCCACCTCCAACTTCTTCCTCACTCTCTTCAGCGACAGCAGCCTGGGCCTGGTGAGTCACCCTCTGCCCTCCATCCTCCATCTCCATTCCACGATCACCCACCGGTCAGCCATCTATGGGGAGACCGTCACCCACTCCACCTCCAACTTCTTCCTCACTCTCTTCAGTGATGCGAGCCTGGGCCTGGTGAGTCAACTTTTGAGTCGACTCACTCAGGAGCCTGGGCCTGGTGAGTCAACTTTTGAGTCGACTCAGGAGCCTGGGCCTGGTGAGTCAACTTTTGAGTCGACTCAGGAGCCTGGGCCTGGTGAGTCAACTTTTGAGTCGACTCAGGAGCCTGGGCCTGGTGAGTCAACTTTTGAGTCGACTCAGGAGCCTGGGCCTGGTGAGTCAACTTTTGAGTCGACTCAGGAGCCTGGGCCTGGTGAGTCAACTTTTGAGTCGACTCAGGAGCCTGGGCCTGGTGAGTCAACTTTTGAGTCGACTCAGGAGCCTGGGCCTGGTGAGTCAACTTTTGAGTCGACTCACTCAGGAGCCTGGGCCTGGTGAGTCAACTTTTGAGTCGACTCAGGAGCCTGGGCCTGGTGAGTCAACTTTTGAGTCGACTCAGGAGCCTGGGCCTGGTGAGTCAACTTTTGAGTCGACTCAGGAGCCTGGGCCTGGTGAGTCAACTTTTGAGTCGACTCAGGAGCCTGGGCCTGGTGAGTCAACTTTTGAGTCGACTCAGGAGCCTGGGCCTGGTGAGTCAACTTTTGAGTCGACTCAGGAGCCTGGGCCTGGTGAGTCAACTTTTGAGTCGACTCAGGAGCCTGGGCCTGGTGAGTCAACTTTTGAGTCGACTCAGGAGCCTGGGCCTGGTGAGTCAACTTTTGAGTCGACTCAGGAGCCTGGGCCTGGTGAGTCAACTTTTGAGTCGACTCAGGAGCCTGGGCCTGGTGAGTCAACTTTTGAGTCGACTCAGGAGCCTGGGCCTGGTGAGTCAACTTTTGAGTCGACTCACTCAGGAGCCTGGGCCTGGTGAGTCAACTTTTGAGTCGACTCAGGAGCCTGGGCCTGGTGAGTCAACTTTTGAGTCGACTCAGGAGCCTGGGCCTGGTGAGTCAACTTTTGAGTCGACTCAGGAGCCTGGGCCTGGTGAGTCAACTTTTGAGTCGACTCAGGAGCCTGGGCCTGGTGAGTCACCCCCCCTTATTGCCTCCTTCCTCCCTCCTCCACCTCCACCACCCACCCGTCCGCCATCTATGGGAAGATGGTGACCCACTCCTCCTCCAACCTTTTTCCTCACCCGCTTCAGTGATGGGAGTTTGGGACTGGTGAGTCACCCGGCCTTGTCGCCTCCTTCCTCCTTCCCTGAAGGGCCTGCTACGAGTTTTGGGTCGACTCAAAGCTCGACTCACTTTTGAGTCGACTGAAAACTTGTCTCCTCCATCCTCCTTCCCTGAAGGGCCTACTACATGCCGTTCTACCCCCCCACCAAACTCGTGCTTCCTCCACCCCTTTTTGCCAACACCTGTTCACACATGCTTTCTTACACCAGGAAGAGACAGGGGGTGACCTCTTCTTCAGGTGGAGGGGAGCCGTTGCAAGCCACTCAGAGGCAGCCCCTGAAGGGGCTTCTTCATTCCGTCCCCTTTCAACTCTCCCCTATTCTTTAATTCTTTTCCACATGCGTTCCTACACCAGGAGGAGACACGGGGTGACCTCTGCTTCAGGCGGCGAGGTGCCGTTTCCAACCACACAGAGGCAGCTCCCAAAGCTGAGGCCACCTCTACCGAAGCTGCAGCCTCGGAAGATCAGGCTGGGCAGGAGCAGCGGGACGGGGGCGGGCGCGTTGTGCTAGACGGAGGGCAGCAGATCACCCTCCTTCCCGGCGGTCTCGCTCTCTCCGCCCCCTGCTGTGTGCCCCGCGGCCGAGCTTTCTTCTTTGAAACCATCCTGGCGGAACCAGAGGAGGGAGAGGGGGCAGGGGCTGGGGTGGAGAGGCAAGGAGGCGAGGGGGTGGGGGTTGGGGTGGCTGGAGCAGAGGGGTGGTGGCGGCGGCGAGTGGTTCGGACGTACGATCCGGATGGGTTGGTTGTTTCCAGCTCAGTGTTCGCTGAGAGGAAGCTGGGATGAGAGGAAGGTGCGGGGGTGCTAGATGGATGGCAGCAGATCACCCTCCTTCCCGGCGGTCTCGCTCTCTCTGCGCCCTGCTGTGTGCCCCGCGGGCGAAAATTCTTCTTTGAAACCATCCTGGCGGAACCAGAGGAGGGCAAGGGGGCGGGGGTGGGAGTTGGGGAGGAGGGGCAAGGAGGTGAGGGGATGGGAATTGGGGTTCCTGGAGTGGAGGGGTGGCAGCGGCGGCGAGTGGTTCGGACGTACGATCCGGATGGTTTGGTTGTATCCAGCTCAGTGTTTGCAGAGCGGAAGTTGGGGTGATGGCAGCATGGTGTCCTTTTGAGGCGCCTGAATGAGCGGAAGTTGGGGTGATACGGTATTAGCTGAGAGAACGATGGGGTATTTGGTAGATGAGATGGCATGGCTGGCAGTGATTACTGAGTAGAGTTAACTCAATAAAGTGGTTCTGATGTACGATCCGGATGGCATTGCAGTGACCAGCTTGAGACAAAATAGCTGCTAAGAAAAGAATTCAGTTTTCCCCCCTCTTTTCTTGAGCTGTCTCTGAATACATAATGTTAGAGGGGTGTTTACTGTTCATTCCGAACAGTACATTCCTAGTCACCATTATCCTTATCTTCTCAGATTCTCTAGTGCCACGTGGCACTCTACTTTTCTTGCACTCCAATTCTTGGTCCCACATTCCACTTTCCAACCTTGTTTCTTGCATGCTATATAAACCTTGCTTGTACTTGCCATTATCAATCAATTCTCATTCAACTCTTCTTCAATTACTTAGTAACTTCTTCGCCTATTTCGCCAATAGTTCTTTCGCCAAAGTCTTCCGCCGCGTTTCATCCTCGACTTAGTCGACCCCGCTAATTCTTTAGCGGACTTAGGCCGTCGGGCCTAACACTTGGTATCAAGAGCCTTCGCGGGGAGCGACTTCCAACAAGCGACCGTCAACGACGAGACTACGACGTCATCGTCCCGCGGTGCCGACTTGCAGACTTGGAGTCGTTGAGCGAACATGGACGAAACCATGCACGCAGTCCCCCACGACATGGGCAACACGCTTGCCGAACTCATGCGCCAACTTCAAGAGTTGACGCTGGAAAATCGACAGGCACGAGCTGAAATGCAACAGCTTCGTGAATTGGCTTCTAACCCCCATGGTCATGCCACGCCAACTCTTGCGCCCAACACGTCGACTGGCGCGGAAGCGCTGCCGGAACGTCGAAGCGCACTCAAGCCGCAGAAACCCGAGTCGTTCGACCCAAGTCAACGCGACGCGAACGTGCGGACGTGGCTCTTCATGCTGAACAACTACTTCGCCGCGAGTGGGGTGCAAGAGGCGGACGCGCAGCAGCGGATCGAGTACGCTGTTACACTGCTGAGGGGCCCGGCCTTGGAGTGGTGGCGCCAACTCACTCAAACTGCTGTAAGAAGGGCTCAGACGGACGGGCATCAACAGGGCGTGGAGCATGCAGCTGCAACTTCGAGCTTAGGGAGTTTAGCTTTGGGTGTTACCACGGTTCCGACCACATGGGAAGGATTTGAAGCGGCGCTGAAAAGTAGGTTCGATTTGGTGAACGCCTCCGAAGCTGCTAGGAAGCGTCTGCGTCATTTCCGACAGATAGGCAACGTCCAGGAGTACACACGACGGTTCTTGAGCATCTGCAACGAGATAGACGATATCACGGAAGCAGAGATGCGCGATCGCTACCTCGAAGGGTTGAAGCCGGACATAGCGGAAGTCATTGCGATTCACGGGTTGTCCACCTTCGAGTCGGTAGTCGCAGCAGCAGAACGCGTCGACGCAGTACGAAGCCGACGGGGTCGTGACGATCGCGATAGGGGATACAACAGACCGATCAACGACGCTCGATCGAGGGACGGACCATCGCCCATGGAGATTGGAGCAGTTAACAGTGACGGCTCACAGAAAATGGGATTTAGGGGGAACTGTCACTACTGCAAAAAGCCGGGACACATGAAGCGAGACTGCCCACAGCTTAAGGAGCGGCAGCAGGGAAACGGAAACCGCCAGTAGATAGCGGGTCGCTAGCTGGTGTGGAGGTTCCCGTACCCGCCACGTCTACCAACGTAGAGGAGACGGCTTTGCAGCAGTCATCTACGGAGAACGAGGTAGACACTGTTGATCGTCCAGTCGTGCTTCTAGGGAAGCTTCGCGGAGTTCCTGTTAAGATTCTCGTAGATAGCGGAGCTAGCCACTCGTTCGTCTCTTCATCGTTAGTTTCTCGTCTCCATCTCGAAGCAGATTCAGCAGTCAACTTCAAGGACGCTCGCATGGTAGATGGGACGCCACTTCACATAGGACCGATCATCCGCAAGTTGCGAGTAGTGCTAGGACCGATCACAGTCAGGCGTGATTTCGACTCTGCGACGCTGAACAGATACGATTTTATCTTCGGGAGAGATTGGCTACGGACGGTTAGTACTCGGTTCGATTGGGCTCAGGGAAGCTGCAGCGTCAAGGTAGACGGGGAGTTCCGGGAGCTGCCACAGTGGAGCGATGGGGCCACATCATCCACAGCTATCATTAATGTTGTTCGTGTGCGACAGTTAGTGAAGCGTGCGGCACGGATCTTCACGGTTTTTCTTGAGGAGGTGGAAGCTGAGGAGGGGAAAGGAGGGAGTGCAGCAGTTAGTGAGAAGGCGACTCTTCCTGCTGAGGTGAGTGCACTGTTAGCAGAGTTCGCAGACGTCTTCCCCGACGAGTTGCCTCCCAGCCGAGCAGTAGACCATCGAATAGAATTGGAGCCGGGGAGCAGGCCAGTAGCGAAGCCACAGTGGAGGTTGAGTCCAGCGGAGACAGAGAAGATGACGCAGCAAGTTAGGCACTTTCTCGCACAGGGTTTCATACAGCCATCTAGATCGCCTTGGGCCGCACCGATACTTTTCGCACCCAAGAAAGACGGAGGGTTACGGATGTGCATAGATTACCGCGCACTGAACGCCGCCACCGTCAAGAATAGATTCCCGGTGCCGAGAGTAGAGGATCTTCTCGATGCAGTGCAGGGCGCTAGAGTCTTCTCAAAGATCGACCTTCGTTCGGGTTACCACCAGATTCGAGTAGTTCCAGAGGACCAGCACAAGACGGCATTTCGTACGAAGCAGGGGTTGTACGAGTTTAGGGTTCTACCGTTCGGATTGACCAACGCCCCAGCGACGTTTCAGACGCTCATGAACACAGTCCTCTCCGAGTTCCTAGGGTCGTTCGTTGTCGTTTACCTAGACGACATCCTAGTGTTCTCTAAGACGAAAGATGAGCACGTGCAGCACTTGCAGAAGGTCTTCGAGGTCTTACGGAGGGAGCAGTTATACGCTAAGCAGTCGAAGTGCGAGTTCTTCCTTCCAGAGGTCGAGTTCCTAGGACACGTCGTATCCGCTAGTGGCATTAGGACTGACCCGAAGAAGATCGCAGCAGTACAGGATTGGGTAGCACCGACCTCAGTCAAGGAGTTGCAGAGCTTCCTCGGTTTCGCGAACTACTACCGTCGTTTCGTTCAGGGTTACGCATCGATCGCTAGTCCACTCACCGACCTACTTCGGAAGGGCGTAGAGTACGTTTGGGGTCCAGCGCAGCAGCAGGCGTTCGAGCAGATGAAGCAGTCGCTCACGTCTTCACCGACACTGTCGTACCCTGATCCCACTCGCCCATACGTTGTAGTGACCGACGCTTCCGATCAGGCCATAGGAGCAGTGCTTCTTCAGGACCAGGGACGCGGGTTGCAGCCGATCGCGTACGAGTCGCGTAAGCTTAGGGGAGCGGATTTGAACTATCCCATACACGACAAGGAGGCGCTCGCGATTATCCATGCGTATAAGGTGTGGAGGTGCTACCTAGAGGGGGCAGATAGTGTTATACGCACGGACCATTGTTCGCTTCGTTTCCTCAAGTCGCAGCCGCAGCTGAGTCGTCGCCAGGCTAGGTGGATGGAGTTCATGGAAGGGAGCTTTCACTACAGGATAGAGTACAAGCCAGGCGTGCGCAACCCAGCAGATCCGCTCACTCGCCCTAGTTGTCAGCTCGCCAGTCTCACAGTCACTGCTGGCCACCCACTTCTCACAGCACTCTTCGAGCACGGTTACACAGTAGATCCCGACTTCACACCGCAGCCGCCCGCAGGAGCAGAGGTGCAGGGTAGTGTCTACATACGGAAGGGTACCACACGGATTTGGGTTCCAGCCTACCGCCCTCTTCGACAGCTCCTTCTCTCAGAGGCGCACGACGTAGTTAGTGCAGGGCACTTCGGAGCAGATAAGACGGCTAAGACGCTTAGTCGCACGTACTACTGGCCCGGGCTTGCAGCAGACGTAGAGGATTACATTCGCTCGTGCGACACGTGTCAGCGTACGAAGTCCTCTCGCCAGCGCAAAGCAGGACTCTTGCAGCCGATTCCACCGCCCGACCGCCCTTGGCAGGTAGTTACCATGGACTTCATCATGGCTTTACCGCTCACAGTTAGGGGTCACGACGCCATCTTCGTAGTAGTGGATAAGTTTTCTCGAGCAGCGCATTTCATCCCCACGC